ATGGAGAAACGGCAATGATGACTGGACAGAGAAGTGGACTGGCATCGTTGCAGTTGCCAATTTCCATTACGTCATTGCGACTGCTAATTATGGGCACGACGGTGTGACAAAAAATTGCACCTAACATTTAGTTGGATACCCGACCCAAAGGAATGTATAACTGTACGATCACTTTAAAATTTTAACTGTTCTTTGCACATTTTTATTAAGTCTGACGACGACTTGGGAATCCAGTGTCGAAAATAAAGTGAATATATTTTCTTAATTTTCCCAAAGGACGCCTTTCCTTGAAATTACATTTATTGGGATGCCTGCCTTCTAGTTTATACAATACACTCTCTTTTGGCGTCCAATTCCTCTTTTTATGTTGGCCTGGGCCCGAGGGTTCTACTGATCAGGATCTCCTTATGGCTTTAGCAGCTCTGACACAACTGCAAGGGGACTATTAAACCAGCAACATAGGACCTGATATAAGAATAGTTGAAAAAGGCAAACGAGACTCTGTGTTAAGTGAAATCGTAGTTTTGGTCCTTATAGGTAGACAGTTAACGATGTGGATTCCGTGGTTATTAACCAGGGAGCCTCACTAAATTATGTGTATTGTATGAAACCTCAGAACCTCGCTTTAACGGAATTTTGAATGGCATGACATTAAGTGAGGTACCCACTTTTAAAATTGCATCTACCCGCTAAACGTGAAAGATGAACCGTGAGGGTGGAAAGAAGAAGCCGTTGAAGCATCCGAAGAAACAGCAGCATGAATTGGATGAAGAAGACTTAGCCGCAAAGCAAAAGCAGAGGGAGGAAGCTAAGAAACTGGCTGCTGCAAAAGAAGTAGCCAAAAAAGGCCCTCTTGGTGTTGGGAAGAATAAGATTACCAAATAGACAATGCTGACGGCTTCTATCGGAAATTTTCAATGTTACTTAATAAAATCATTACTTTTGTACTTAATCTTTCGAAAAGTTGCTTCCGACCACTTTATCTAGGTTATGTAATTCATTTCAATGAATATATTGACGTGTTTGTGAAGATACTGCGTTCGGTCTTCAGAAGGTCGGTTTCGTGCTTATCCAGAACTTTCTCATAAGCGTGTAACGGCATTGGCGACATGTGCTACACTGTTCACCACTGCGTTTGTCGTTGTGGCACGTTATAACTTGGTATACCAAAGGACTAGTCTTTGTTTACGTTAACATTAGTAGGAAATTCTTCACCAAGGATATGTTCGCGCATGTATTCTAACAGGACGAGATTTCAGTAGCATAAGTTCCATTTTCCACATAACTATGCAGTCCCCGTTCTTTTGGTTATCCGCTATACTGATATATCAGTAATACCTAATACCTGTTTATTGCTATGATCGATTTCACCACCTTTATCGTAACTAGAGTACGTTATCAGGCCAGTGGTCCAGGAGTGGGTGTGCGATGCACACATCCGAGATGTAGGATGCCTGCTTAGTCCAAAGACGCTTTCGTTCGTTGTCAGAATGTTCGAAAGTTAAGGGTAATAGACAAGTTTATCCAGTACTCGATAATCCTTCTTTATCCGCGCAAGTACCTGGAACGCGAACGTTTTCATTCATTCCTTAACTCGTAAGCTACTTCTACCTGTTGGAAGTATCGTTTACTTCACCGTGATAGCAAACACTCATTTGAACTGAAAATTTCATATCATTTGCTGGTTTCTTCTGCAATGTCTACCAAGCATTTTCCAATGCGTGTGTTATTTTAGGCTAATGATTCTGGTTACTTCTGTCCTTTTGACGCATGCACTTCTGCGGCCAAACAGGGTGGGGCGTAGGTTGTGTAAGTTGAGCCGAGTACAGATTAGTTGTTGCCATTAGCTGGATTCCGGAGTTTGCGAGGTCGACTACCGCGGCGAATGTCCGCCTGCTGGTCTAATGTTGTCTGCGCAGCCATGTTTCTTAACCCTTACGTCTCCAACTATTTTAAGAATCTG